AAGCTCAGCAGCTCCTGCCCACCACGGCAGGATGGGATCAGGTGGGGGTGTTTGGGAGCCAGAGGTTTCCCCAGCTGTGGGGCAACCACCCAGAGCAGGCAGGTTGCCACTGGCACAGGTGTTTGCCAGCCCATGAGCAGCACAGACCCAGGCAGCAGCCATGGCTGTCACCAGAGCCCTGGGGACAGCTGTGACAAGCTGTGCTGGGGCTGAGTGCAGCCTTGCTGGAGAACCAGGACGTTGGGATTTTAAACCTACAGTCTGGTGCAGCCTCCCTCCTGAGGTGAGCTGAACACCCCAGCCCAAAGTATCTCCTTAGAAACATTTTATCTCCTAAAAACCCTGTATTAGCAAATTTTCACTCTGGAAACAGTGTGTGGTGTTACCTCCAGTGAGAAACCTGTCACTCAGTAGCTGGACAGGAGCTCACAGCCTGCCTGCCGAGGACACTTCTTGGTCAGGGTTCTCAATTATAATTGATTTGGGGTTATTTTTTTTCTGTCTTAAACAAGTTTCTCCTTCCAGTGTTGAACTGGTCGGAGCAGTTAGAGTGGCCCTCCCAGAGGCTGCTGGGGCAGGGGAAGGGGCTGCAGACACAGGTGGTTGGTGTCAGACCTACACAGAAGAACGTTTCTGTAGGTGAAAAGATGACAATGGATTTTTTTAAAGCATGAGGCAACACTTCAAGCAGTTGATTTTTATCCTTGATTTTAGGGTGGGGGTTTTTTTCTTCTCATTACATGAAGTGGCATGTCCCCCCTGGCAGGTTCTGAGGAGGGACAGTGCTGTCCCCAGCCCCTTCTGGGCAGAGCTGCCTTACCCACCCTCCCCTGCAGCTCCCAGCTTTCTGCAGCCTGGGAAGTGGGCAGATCCCACGAACAGGGATGGGCACCCGAGTTCAGCTTCTCCTCAGGCCAGAACAGCCTTTCTCCAGGGCCTTGGAGGCTACAGCCAGTGTGACCAGAGCCCCTGGAGCCCACCCAGAGGGGTCAGGGCTTGGCTGTGAGACACCCCAGAGCTGCCACAGGAGGGAACAGACACCCCAGAGGGGACAGCCAAGTGTCACACACTGGGGACTCTGCGCTTGCCCCAGAGCAGGGCTGTGGTGACAGAGGCCAACATGAACATCTTGCTCTTCATCTTTGATCAGAAGCCCCATCCACCTTCCCCTGTGCCAGGGGGTGTGAGCTGGGCCTCCCTTCCCCTCAGGCCTTTGCTGCTTCTGCAAGACTTCCCAGCACAAGAGCCACAGCCCCAACCTTCTCCCTCCAGGCTCAACAGACACACTCTCACTACCAGCTGCTCTCCAACCCTGTCCCACTTCAATTTCTACCACATTCTATGTCTTCCACCATTTTTTTTCCCCCCTCTTTCTCACATAAAGTTCAAGCTGTGAGTTTGGGCCTTATCTCCAACCCTTCCCATCGCACATGATTGACCTGTGGGCTCTTGACTTTGCTGTGGCCAAACTTCCAGCTTTTTAGAACAGAATAACTTTGCTGGGGGCTAAATTGTAAGGCACCCGTGTCTTGGGTGAGGTGTCACTGATCTCCTCTGCCTCAGCAGGGAGTTGGTGGCTGGAAACCAGAGGAACATTCTGCACAAGCCCAGGCTGGAAGTTGGACCCTCCTGCAGCCGGGAAGGGGATGGCTCAGCTCCAGCACCTTGGCACAGGCTGGGGAAATCAGATCTCCTGCCCATGTGAAGCACATCAGTGATTGTTCACTGCTCCAACACTACAGCTAATAAAAGCCCTACTTAATGACAGTAATTAGTATTAGTGGCTTTCATTTTCTGGCAGCTGATGAACTCACCCGGAACGAAGCCGCTGTAGCAGGGGATCAGCCCAGAGCTGGTGTAGATCTTGTTGTTGGGCCAGTATGTTTTGGGGAACCTCTTGCCAAAGGTGCCTGCTGGGTTTCTTTCCATAAACTGGAAAACAAACAAAACCCAACACAGTTCACTTAAAACCACGTTGTTGCTGCCCCCATCACAGGCTTTGCCTCCACCTGAGAGGATATTTAGGTCCAGGTGCAGCAGTTCTCCTCCCAGTTCTGGTTTCTTCTACTCAGCAGCTTCATTGCATCCCACACGCGCACCTCCCTACCGCACCACACCCAATC